TATAATAGATGCGTGGTTCTACTCATAATATTCCAATTTTTCAGACTTTTTAAATTTTTTTCCATGTTATTTGTCGTATATAAATAATAAGATACATAGACGGCTCCCTTACTAGTGGGGGAACTGGTGCTGGTATATATGAAAAAAATTTCGGAAGCACTGCGAAGGAGTGTAACCATTTTTCACGCGGAAATATATGCGTTACATAGATGTAACAGTTTCAACCTTGAACACAACTACCGGAACCGTAGAATTACAATACTGACTGACTGACTGAGGCAGGTATAATCCTTCTTACCAGGTACCATCCAAACTGATATTGGACCACAATGACAAGCTTAACATAATTGGCTGGAACAATTAGGTGCACTTAATATGGATTCCGGGGCATTCTGGAATCCAAGCCAATGAAGTGGTAGACAAACTCGCAAGATGATGCTCGGCTTCAATAATGACAGGTCCAGAACATTTCTGCAGTCTCGGCAAAAGAACTCTATCCCTTTTTATGAATGGCGCAGATAAAAAGGAAAGACAACTACATTGAGCAGGGTTACCAACCTAGCACAAACTAAAATGTTTTTAGGAAGTTTCAACCTAAAACGCTTCTAGGATTGCATAAAACAAACATAGAATAACTTACGAATTATTGCAGGAATATTAACTGGTCACTGTAGATTGAATAATCACTTAAAAAAGTTAGGAATCCCATCCAATTCAGACTGCAGATACCATAGAAAAGAGAGAGAAACCACATACCATGTGCTAGGGGATTGCCTGACATTGATTCACAAGCAGAAAACACATCTTGAAGGTTGTTTCTTGGTACATAGAGATTCAAGGCTAGGAAAGATAGGCTTTATACTGTCTTACATTAAAGAAATTTGACTTGGAGAAACACTCTAATCTAACTTAAAGGCATAATAGATCCTTTAGGTCGCAGTGAACTATCCCTTTTCCTAATAATAATAATAATAATCTTATTATATTAACTTTTAATTTGACTTATAAAACAATCAAGATATGATACACACATGATCAAGACCCAATGAAGATATAATCATAATATGTTCAAGACATGATCAAGTCGTTACCAATACATTTTCAAAACATAATGAAGAGATGACTAAGAGCCAGATTTAACCAATCGTATTGAAAGTGCTGTATATCGTGCTTATTTCGTATAACTTTTGTTATTTTCTGTCCATAATACTCCATAATATTTCCAATATAAAAACCAAAATACAATAAATCTTTCTATTTATAAAACACTCGCGGTAAAATTACAAAGAATTTGGAATCAATTCAAGAATCTAGCATATAAACACGATTCGAGCACCTTTCACTACACACGTAGAAGCACTTTCAGTGATTGTCAATGCTCTTATTTTAAACACCATTTGAATGATATAACATGATTTTTAAATGAGATTCTTCCTAATCAATTTATCTGAAAAGGAATGTAATTTCAAACGCTTAAACCTCCTATCCTCCTCTTCTACGGAATCATTCATAAAAAGTTGGTGATACAATAAGTCGTAAATAATAATAAAAAAAACAAAGGTGGAATTACCCCCTTTTAAGTCCATTTCATCGTTAGTGTCAATTATAGGGATGAAATCCAAATCAATCATAAAAAGCTGATAATACAATAAGTCGTAAATTACAATAATATAGAAATATAAAGGTTGACTTACTCCTATTTTAAGTCCATTTGATCGTTAATATCAATTATTGGAATAAAAAAAGTCAACACCAAGACTTTTATTGAAGAAAAATTATACGCCTTTCTGCTCAATCTTTTACTTAAAATTTTACTACCAACATTTTATATCTGATTCCAACTTAAGTATATTACACTTTTAATCAAACCAATTCGTCATTTCTCCAACCATCATTTCTTCTTTGGTTAGTACTCAATATGACACAATTTATAGTCGCTTTTCTGTTTCGCGCAATCTTTTTCTGTCGCTGAGCGTAATTTTTGAGATGGCGTGTCAGAAATATTGCGCTAACGCTGTTTAGAGTTGAAAGTTGTAGAGCAAAAGCTGAAGAAAACACGATTATTGGATAGAAGCTAAAAGGAAACTTAGTATGAAATTCGATTGTAGTTGCCAATACTGCTGGTGTTGCCAATACTGCCAACAGTAAAACGACGGTTATTATTCACTGCTAAATGTACTTAAAGCCAAGCATTGTACTAATCTACTTCGTACTGGACTAGCCTTTCACTTTTTGTATAAAATTCTAATAAAATAAATATGTACAACTATAAAATTCATTTGTTGAATATTTTGAAGCTTTGCTAACTTTTTACAAAAGATACTCGTATTCAAAAAAATATTTAAACGATTGGTTTGCCAAAATATTGGCTTACAATTCGCTCCGCGGGCAATCAGAAATCTTAATTTGCTTTAAAATTACAGTCACTATTTTATGATATTTTATGTACATAATACATTATATAAATCATTTCGATTATGATAAGCGCAATTTTGTGGGCAAAAAAACAAAAATATTAAAAAATAAATAATTTTCTCGTTAAACGGTGAATAAAATGTACGAGGAACGCGCGTTTTTAACATAAAAATGGCTTAATATGCGCGCTAAACGTCAAACGGTAGCTGTCAAAATGGCCATAAATTCCTTCGACTCTTTCCATTTATTTTTCTCGATTTTAGCAACTCTTTTACGTGTTTATCAACTATAAACTATTTTCTTTATTAACATAAATACAAAATACAATTAAAAATATACTTAGTGAATATTTTTTCGTATATTAATCTATAGAGTTTGGCTCATTGCGGTTTTTAAATACTACACTTCATATATATTTACATATATATGAATCATGTTTTTTATGTACATGTCACGTACTGAAATATAATTAAAGAAGGCTTATTTAAGTTTAGTTAGATGAATCAATTAGTTTTAATCTTACCACTTATATAAAATATATAATTTATAATAGTTCCGCGGCATATTAACGACTTCTTTTGTGGCGTCTTTCATTATCTCGCTTTAGTAAATCTTTCTGGTGCACTCTAGTGCTTTTAAATCTCAAATTTTATTTTTATTGCGATCATTAAAAATAGACTGCACATCTTCACATCTTTACTCTTACCTTGATTTGTATATATTAAATTAAAAATACTATATAAAATAATCTATGCAATCAAAGATTTTATTTTATTTTAAATTAATGCATTTTATTTATTTTCTATTATAACACAACATTTAAACTACTAAACAAAAATAATACTGTAGCATAAATCGATATAAGGAAATCACATTGGCAGTGCTACTAATAAAAAAACTCATTTAATATTAAGAAGTGGAATCTTTCAAATGACACCTTTCAAAATTTCATAAGATTTAAACGATTACTCGTAACGCTGTAACGCTTTTCGATACAATGGATTCAAAGCAATATCGTGACAGCAAAAGCTTAGCTTGCTCAATACTACCTGAACTCGAGATAATAGGTAAAGAAGTGGTTTCCTGACTTCAAATGCGACCGTACATATACTGAAGATGTAGTACAAGAAAGGTGGTGGTACTAGAAAATATCAAAAACTCCGCAAAATCGTTTTTATAAACCATTAAGTGAACAGACCAAAAGTGTCCATTTATAACGATCGTTACACGACCCAACTGAAACGTTTAAAACAGAAAATTGCGGCTACAGTTGAAGAACGAAACTGTTTTCCTTCACCAAGGCATTGCAATGGGTCACAAGTCGTTGACTATCACAACAGGAATCACTGTTGGAATTGCTTCCATATCCATAGTATTCGTATCCTGATTTAGCCCCCAGTAAAGAGACTTGGATCTGAAGTAAAAAAGCATCGCTTAACAGAGGAATAGTTTAATACCAAACATGAATCATTTTACGAGAGAGTTATATAAATGTTAGAGAAGCGCTGGAATGATCATATCTCAGAAGACTACTTTATTAAATAAAGTCGAAATTTGTCAAAAAGTTATTGTTTTATTAGTTAGCTCTTTTTTAAGCTCGTGTTTTTTATTCAATTCTTTATAATATACAAACACTTTAAGATTCCAAAAAATCTTCACAAACACTTTAGTTTATTTTAAATTAAGAAAAAATATATGCGTACACTGAGAAAAATATGCTCTAAGCACAAACTAGTTAAGTTGACTTGATCATTTTATTAGAGAAATTTAAGCTCATGTGGTGAAGAAGATATTAAAACCAATATGTGGCATAGTTGAACCAACGCCATGCGTTGTGTAAGAATATTTTAAGCTGATATTTAGTTAAAATCTGGTTAAATCAACGAAATTATTTTTCTGAGTATATATAATTTTTAAATACTCGTAGTAAATATTTTTTTATAATTATACATAGGAAAAACATAAATACTTTTAAATTACTGTAAATACTTTATGCTTTCATCATAAAAGCCTTCATCATTTTTGGTATTACTTGTAGGATCGTAAATTGTCTGCGTGGGTCATGATTTCATGTTACCGTTTTTATTTGCTAATTTAGCAAATTTATACAACAATTTCTGTGCTTCTCAGTATTTTTACTATCTTGACATTACTTTCAAATTGCTTTTACTGACGACTGAGAGTAGCTATTAACTAATAACATTCAGGAATACAGAGCACAACATCTCGCAAAATCGAAAAGTTGAAAAAACTGCTGTACCGTAGAATGTACGATAATAGTCCTAATTTCAATACGATTACCAACTCTTATCTATCAAATATTGAAGTCAATATTTTCAATGAACGTAATAATAATGTAAAAAAATTTATGTGTTTATTAACACATCATAGATATTTTTGCAGTCCAAGTGAAATACTCAGGAAATTTTAAATTATCAGTGATTAGTTTTAGAGTCTTGACTCTAATTCATAAGCACCTTGACAGGAACAGTTTAAACTGATATGACGTAAATATCAAATCATAAAATATTTCTTTTAAATTATAAAAAAAAATATTCTTATTAAAATTTCATAAATTTTAACAGTTAAACCGACCATCGCGATCTCTTAACTTAACTGGTGAATCTGGTGTAAAAGTTATGCAGCAAGTGTAATAGGTGTTCAGTATCGGATATGTCCGATCTGTGTTAGTCATGGTTCGTCCGTCCGACGCATATTTTCATGACTTTTTATTTAGTTATTTATTTTGTAAGGTTTTTATTTAATTTAAGCAGTTTTTAATTTATCTCGACTGTGTGTGCCACTCATAAACGTACTTGCTAAATTTAGTTGCCACGTTTTTAGCAGTTCGAAACGGCTGTGTAAATTTTCGCACCCGTGATGAAGTTTCCAATTAAATTTTATTGGAGTTGAGTTGGTGCTGCAGTTCAGATTGAGTGTTGCACGCGTGCGCATGCCTACTCGTGATCAACTGTTGTTGCCTCATGCAGCTTGTTGTGGACCGCCTAACTATTTTAGCATTCAAAATGCTAGAGATGATCTTATTGAGAATACAATATTTGCGCAGTTTCTAAGCCATTTGAACTGTCTGCCAAGCTGCTAGCCTGCTAGCCTGCCAGGCTTTTGTGCTAATGAGTACTTTGTTGCTACGAAATTACTTGGGTGGCAGCTGAAAGTGGCAATAGTGGTAAGCCAATAACTCCTGCATTGCACTGTGCGAAAGTGTTGAAAGGGGGCGTATTTGCACGCCATTTAAGCGGGTCAACTTAAAAATTGCTCAAGGGTCAAAAGCGGGCTTAGCCAAGAGGCCAATATGAAAAAAGTAATAATGTCTGTGTAAGCTCAAGTTAACTTCGTGTAATAAATTTTAAAAGTACACAAGGTATGTAGCACATCTTTCTCCAAAGGTGAAGCTTTAGTAATAAATCCTAGCTATTCGGTTCTTTAATTTATTTATTCAATAAATGTTTGAATATTTTTACACACTTGTAGCCATAATCTTTAATAATCATCATAGTTTACTGCAAGTTTTATTAATTTTACCCGATTTCTATCAATTGCTGAATATTCAATTCCCAAAAGTTAAGCCATAAATGCGACGGAGCACTAAAAAGATTTGATTTTATGCGTTCTGGCTTATGGTTTAAGTTTTCCGTACTCATCCATAATTGAAACGGAAAATTTTTCAATATCGTCTGTAGTGTTTTGCATAGTATGGTTGCCGTTAAGGCAAGAAACGTGATAAACGTGGAATCCCCAAGGAATTCCTTAAGTAATGAAAATTTTTGCAGGATTGGATTGCAGTTTTTTAGTTTATTCATTTTTTATGATTTTTAGTTTTTATAATATTTATTGGTCGCAAAGCATAAAGAAAATATTGAGTATACATTAATGTATGTGTGTACTACATTTTTTAAATTAATTTTATATAACTTTATTAACTCCTTCCATCTTCTTTTATATAGTATCGTAATATTTATATGTATATATATTTTTATGATATAAATATTTATATTTAATATAACGTGATAACTAATCACTTATGTCATATATATATATATTACATTGATTTTTTTCTTTTGACGTAGATATTTTCTTGTACTTCAAGTTCGTTATTTACTAAAAAGCGAAAATAACCAGAAACAAACATTCCTAAGTTCTTAAATTAATATTTTAAATTTATATTTTATACAAATCTCAACACAGAGTCATTATTTCAATAAATCCGTTTATAATATATTTAATCTTTGATTAATCTACATTAATTGAGTCTGTCAGTAAGTGTGAAAGAAAAATCAAGTTGAAAGAGGTCTTCGATCTATACTACATGTTTAAAAACTAGAATATATATTTGAATATATAAGATAAGGTAGAATAGAATGGAAAAGTTGCTTTCTGTCTTTCTAATGAAATCCAAAAGATCCACTGTTAAGAATGTTATAAGCTTGGACAAATATAGAAACTCCCGACATAGCAGACGGGAAGTCACAAAGAATGTGTCTAAATGTCTCAACCGTTTCCAATCAAAAACAACATTTTGCCTCTTTACATCTAACCATCTTATAAAAATAATAACGCAAGCCATGGTGATCTTTCAAATTACCTAGCAACAATCTTGCTCGTTACTTTAACCACTGATAGCAGTCGAACAAAATTTTTAAGAACTTTCATGATGACAATGCTCTAATTGCTGCTTCAATATCTGTATAGATGCATATATGGGCGCCTTTTAATCCTTTGGTAAGGTGGAGTCAATCACATAACTCAATAGCATGAACCTCCGCTTAAACAACAGTGGCTAAAGATTACTAAAAAAAAGAATCCTGTTGACTTATAAAGCTTTTAGCATTAAAGATTCCTGCACCAATACCTTCCATAGTTTAAATGCCATCAGCTTACCACAAGGCTTTACCGTCTCTCATTGTCTCAATCACTTCTTGTTGTTCACCTCTAATTCTGTATTATTAGTATTGCATCAAATCAATATCTTTCTGTGCACCATGTCTTCATTTTCCAGTAGAACTTTAACAAAAACTTGAGCCGTTGCTCTAAGGGCAAGTATTCTAACCACATACCACATAACCACTAACCACATATTTTGTGTTGTATTGACTATTTATTATTCTTTATAACTTAACATTGCAGCCAATTTTGAAATAATCCATCTGCCCGTTGTATTCGGCCATACATATTTCTTAAATCTTGCCTTCACGTATGAGCAGCTGCGCGATGTCATCACTGTTTAGTGTCCTGACTTCACATCCATAGACAAGAATAATTTTGTACGTGTGCAATTTTGGATCGCGTGATATGGTTAAAATAGATTCATTAGGCAATATTTAACATTCTTTACTTCTTTAGTGTTCAACTTAAACCATTTCATTGGTAAACTATACTTGTCTTACAGTTGCCCACTTTAAACGGCTGTACTTAAATGTAACTAATACTATTTGCGTATCTATTTAGTAATACCTCACTTTATACCAACATACAACCAGTAAGGAATACTATAAATTGGAAATAAATGATTGAATAAAAATAATTTTATAGATATTTTTCTGTTAACTACGCACAGCAATCTTCGCGGTCAATGCGCTTTCTATTGAATTTATTCTTTTAATAGAGTGAACCAAGACAAAGTCCTTTAAACAAAACTGAAGCTCAACGAAACTCAAGGAAGTTCAGCGCGCTTGCACATTTATTGAAACGTCCGTTCCTCTTTCGGTTGCTTCTTCCGAAGCTTCGCTCTATGTTGTCTTGCTAAGTTTTCTCATGCCTTGGATTTTTTGCTCAAGGATGTCTAAGCAGCTTATTGAATTTTATTCACAGCTTGCGCTTTTCATTTGTTATAATGGCTCTTATGATTTCATTATTTTTAAACAAATTTTTTGCTCTCCAAGTTTTTATTTTCGCTTTCATTGTGGATTTTTCAATTATTTAAATATCGTCCTTGAATGCTTGTTGTGGTGTTTGGCGAAGCCGGCATGTTCTGATGCTATTCGCTGAAGGTCAATCAGAGCAACTCAATGGCGTTCAGAGCAGCCCGGCATTATGGAAAGTGTGTCACTATGCTAAATGTGACCTAAAGGAATCCTTAACGCACGGATGCTTTTATTTTCGCACCGCTTTAAGTCACTTGAAATGCTTAAATTCTAAACAGAAAATAACAACTGCAGTCACTTATTCATTTTTTTTGAATATGCTAATCAATTGCACTATTGCATTACAATTTTTTTAAAATTTATTTAATTTTTAACAAATATCTTTGCACTTTTTTATAAATCTAAATCAATTACGTGGAGTTAAGATATTATTGCGTTACACACTTTTGTGGGCGGTGTTGCATGCATGACAAATGCAATTCCATTTGTAAACCACACGTTGTGCTTGTATGCATTTAGTGGAAACGTATCCGATGCATTATTTTTGCTATTGCCATTTTAAAGCTATCTGCTAAAGTAATCACTTGACCACCTCCTCTTTTAAGTTTAATTAAATTTTCTCATGAATTTTAGTAGCTTGGCTGACATTATCTCTATTTTGTTGTTGGATTTGTTGCTGTGTTGTTGTTATTGTCATTGGTTGCATCCAAAACTTGTAGTGTGTAGATTGAATATAATTTAACTCTGTACCTCTATGGTTTACTATACGTAGCAGTCGGCCTAATGTCATCATCTGCAACTACAATCATCCGAACACACTTCCATTATTTTCTAAGCGGCAAATTATCATTCTGCATTGAAGCAATTTTCCATACGCCAGACATGCAACTTAGGTAGGAATTATCGTAAATTGAAAACGATGTGTGTGTCTGATGGCAAGCCAATCATCGTAAAACATACTCAAATTAATTAACTACTTATAAATCATTGATTTATCAACGTTTTTACTCAATATTAATGTGTTTAAATTTAACTGGAAATTTGTTTATTTAATAATTAATTTAATTATTCAAGTAAAGTGGGAGTCCATTGCACCAAACGAAAATCCGATATGTGATTGACTCCCTGCAACTAACGGCATACAGTTCTTTCCAGAATAGAATATGTTTGAAATGTAATTAAATTAGCAAATATGATGATCAGATAACTACAGTGAATATTATATTAACTCTATTCATTCATTTTACTAAGAGGAAAAGTACAAATGTTTACATCAATTTAAATTAAGAATTCATGATAATACAATAAATGATTTATTTATTCCACAAATATAAAATAGTGAATACACAAATAGAAGAAGCTTAGTTTTTCAGTACGGTAAATACATTTAATTAAATTTATATATTTAGCAATTTAACCATTATTTAAGACAAGGATATTAATAAACTGCAATAAATATCGGAATCTGAAATGAGATGTTATGCAATTTACTACTGTTGAATATCAGTTCTTCTCTAAAAACCGCAAAAACAAATCTACATAGTACGCACTTTGAAAATAGTAACCTAGCAGTTGTCTTCTGAAGTAGAGTATCTTGGTTATCTTATAAAAAAAAATTGCAGAAGAGACTCTTGTTGAGCTAAAAGTTTTACATGCGTTAAATATCTTCTGACAATGCATTTAAGATTTTGGCAAGAACCCAGCAATCATTTAGTGGTTATACATCTGCATATGGTGACATATGCGCAGAACAGTACCCAACAACACAGGCT